CAGAGTCCTGTGTGGACTCCTAAATAACTCTGTCTCGTGAAAAGTTAACTAGGCCTTGAACTAACCCAGCGGGGTCGCCATCTGGGAGTCCTCAGAAACAGTGAGTTGTCAGCATATAAACATTTTAGGGTTCATGGAAGACACTGACTGTGCTAAACTAATCACCCCTGTCAGTCAAGATTTGAGTAGGGGTTCGGAAACCAGGCGTTCATTTAACAACAATAACAAAAACAGTGAGGATGAAAACCGGACGGCCATCTTAATGAAAGGCTTAAAAGCAAACTGTGACTTCCCTAATAAGGCGACGGCCAAAGTTGGCTCCCTGGCGGTTGGGCGCCAATTCGATTAATCAGTCTGTTTTCAGTTTCCTCACGACAGCAATGGTAACAGTTTGCTTTATTCTGTTTATATGGCGCTGACAGGTCTCCAGCACATTGGGCCTACTTGCTGGAGATTAATGGTTACTCTTCTACCAAGGGAAAACCAGGCAGGGAGAGAATGCCTTTTATGACTAGGTAAGAACTGGATTCTCTTGCTAGTTTTTCTGTTTTGTTTTGTTTTGTTTTGTTTTGTTTGTCTATTGCCCATCAACTCCTCCCTCTCTTAATTTCTACTAAAATATGTAAGCCTAGTTGGGTTCAGCAGGTTCTTCTCACTGTTTAAAACTCTCCATCTTCAGATGTATCCCCAGGTAAAACCAAGGAAATGTTAAACACTACTTTTGGATCAATTCATCATCTCTTAGGGCACTGTTGGCTAATTTTTTAAAAATCAATTTCCATATATGGGAAACGATTTCCCTTTGGTATCATTACATATTTTTGTAAATACAATTTGCCTTAGTTGCAAGAGACATCCTTGAAAATCTTAGAAATACCTCACTAGTTATAGTTCAAAATTTAAAAATTTGAAAGAACTCAAAACTAGACCCCAAAACCCATTCAACCCCCCTCCTCGAAAAACAAGCTTTAAGAGTACGAGTTGTGGGGCCAGAAGGTAGTAAAGTTGTTAGGATACATGCTTAGCTTGCATCCGACTTGGAGTTAGTTCCCTGTACTACATGGTCCCCTGAATATCATTAGGTGCATCACCCCAGAATCTCAGGGGTGGCTCAGTTATCCCTAGCACTGCAGGGTCTGGACAGAATCGTGTTGCATGGGCCATGGACAGTTATGCTAGTTGGCCATAAACTGCTGGTGGGGTCCCTAGATTGGCTAAGCACCACTTGAAAAGAAGCTCCCCTCATTCTCCCAAAGAGTACTATTCATATTTTCCTCTATGCCAGATTGGATAAAAATGGTAAAAGGTAAAGGTAAAAAGGTAAAGGCCCTCCCATTGATCATCGATTTGCTCGAGCGGGCCCAGTAACGTCTCCATTGGAGACTTTGTTGTTACTGTGTCTGGCATATGGAATACTCTCGGTAGCTTGCCAGGCTCTCCGAGAGGGGCGGAGGAATCGAACTCAGGTCGGCCATGTTGGCCGCGTGCAAGGCAAACTCCCTACCCGCTGTGCTATCGCACAGAAAAGCTAAAACACAACAAATTTGAAAAATCAATATTCTGGGGTCACAGAGATAACACAGTGGGGAGGAAGCTTGCCGTGCACACGGCTGACCCAAGGTCGATCTCTGGTGCCCTTGATGGTCCCCCAAGCCTGCCAGGAGTGATCTCTAAGTCCTGAGTTTGGGTTTGGCCCCCAAACAAACAACAGCAACAGAAAACTCAATCCTTTTCCTCTAGGGTTCTATTGGAATCACCGTCTGAATTATTGTTCTTAGGGACTGTTCTGCTCTGCAGTGCCACAGATTAAACTCAGGGCTGCACTCATGCAGGTGTTAAGCCACTGAGTCACAATCCTGGCCTATACCCAAGCAGGTATAGGACACCCGGCAGCTGTAGGGCTTGGGCCCCCACAAGCTGTCCAACACAGATCCTCTTGTTCACTTCTCCCCTGACACAGCAGAAAAAAGATGATTCCAATAAACAGGACAGCAAGAGAGGGCGTTAAGTATATTCCTTTAACAGAGATATTTTTTTAAAGCCAGGGGCAAAAGCATTTGAAGACAGGACAGCAGTATCAATAATAACACAGACTGTCTTCTATGTGCCAACAACTGGTTTAATTTGAAGTATAAGGTTTAGCAAATAGAGCAATAAATTGGACCAGATTCGGGTGGCTCTTGAATTCTACACTTGTACTTTAACAATCTGTCTGATGTTGAAAGATGGATTAGCGGCAACAGAAACTGAAGTCAGATGGATTAGTTAGGAGGATGCTGCAGGAGTCCCCAGATTTCGAACCAGGGCGCTCTATTGGTGAAAGGATCAGGACAGGCCTGAAATGATCCCAGTCAGAAATGACTCTGTACCTTTTGATTTCACTTGATCTTTTATTCATTTTTTTTTCAGTGATCTCTACTTTTGCAAGGTTTAGATAGGTTTATATATAAAATGCTACATATGCAGGAGGGGGGAAGACTTTGGAGATCATCCTTTTCTTATAATTAAGGGCCAGGGATAAAGTTCAGCAGTCAGAGATGAGTGTTTCGCATATGCTGGGACTTGAGTTTGAATCCTAATACCACCACGATGAGCCCCAAGCACCGCCAGGAATAGCTCTAAAATAGTCACTGTGCATTGATGGCTGTAGCCTTGAACCACATACCCAGCTAGCCAAGTACTGACAGGAGTGAACCTCACCCTCCAGTACCATCTGGAGATCCTCAACTCTCAAAAAACTGGGGTACAGCTATTGATCAGTGGTCTAAAGTGATACTGAGCGAGGCTTCTGGCTATGCCCCTATCCTCCCTCTGCCCTTCTATTCATTTGAGGATGACTGAATACTGCCTTGGGCAGGAAACTGTACTATGTAACAGTCATGGACACATCCAAGAAAATAAGGATGAAGGGAAAGGAAAATAATCGCCATTTTCCCAGCCTTGGGAGTGCCTTCTTTCTAAAACTTCCATTTCTTTCTTGGTGGTCTGGCCATAAGGCAGAGTACATGGTGGTAAACCACCAGACTGCTGGAACAGCATAGGTATTCTTAGCAGTCCATAGGGAGAGGCCCTCCTATTTCATTTCTAAGTATGTGCCCCGCTTTGACATAGCTAACCAAAGCAAAACATACCAGAGAGGTATCTAACATGTTTCCCACTTCTGGATTTTCAAGATGACTAAAATATAGGCACAAGAGAAGCAAGCTCTGAGCAAAGACTAAAGGCATAGAAAATAACAGAGGAAATCTAATTTGAACATTAAAATCTGTGTGTAGTTGACAAATTAGTTTGAAGCATGTAATTCTGTTGGTTTCCAGGAAAGCCCTGATGTTTTAAAATTGAGATTTGCAAGACTAGAGAGAGAATACAATAGACCTTGTATCCAACTGACCTGAGTTCAATCCCTGGCACCCCATCACCCCATTCAGTTCCCTAAACCTTGCCCGGTCTGATCCCTGAGTGCAGAGCCAGAAGTTAGCCCTGAGCACAGTCCAATGTGTACCCTCTCCCCCTCCAATGCCCCCCTCCCCCCGCAAAAAAAAGCAAATACAATTGAAATTCATCTAGACTTTATAAGAATAAATCTTGATTGATTTCTGCTACTTTCTGGGGAGAAAAAAAGAAAAAAATAGGTAATGGAATGACTACCTCTGAGAAGTCTCTTTGCTTTATGGCAGTTGCCTTTTCATTCTTTTATGAAACCTTGTCTAGTTATCACATCCTCTTTACTATCTCCATTTAATTCTTTCTAAAATGTCTTCTTCAGATGCCTGCAGTTATGCCAGCTTCTTTGGATCTAGTTAGATCTCAGAGAGCAAAAGTATGTCACTTTGGTACTTCCTAAAAGATGCTTACACATTTAGACTTACCTCCAAAAATCTATGGCAATAAATATGCTTGCAAAGCATTTGGTCATTAGGACAAAAAATTAGAAGGTATTTTTAAGGGACTTACGGACATTATTGAAAGTTATGTCAAGTATGAACTAGTTTGCATATGCCAAGAGAAATGAAATGCCAATAAAATCAAAGGGTAAAAAAGAAGGAATTTGACAAGAGCAGATCCATAGGAACTTCAGTTTTAAGGATAACAAAACCAGGGAAGAGCAGCCTTCACCAAGGGTAACATGAAAAGGCAGAATCCTGAGCCCATTTAAATATGAAGTACCAAGGGCTGGAGAAATAGCACAGCAGGCAGGGAGTCTGCCTTGCACACAGTCGACCTGGGTTCAATTCACAGCATCCCATATGGTCCTCTGAGCACTGCCAGGAGCAATTCCTGAGTGCAAAGCCAGGAAAAACCCCTGTGCATCGCTGGGTGTGACCCAAAAAGAAAAAAAAAATATGACGTCCCAGTTTCAGCATCTGTAGCATTTACCAAGTTTCTCTTCTGTATGGAAAGTAAGAACATCTACTTCCTCTATTTTTCATGCTTTAAGGTGATAAATATGCTTGAGATATTGATTTTTTTTTCTGTCAGTAAATAGGAATCAAATTTGGGACATGCCTAAAATACTACCTACATTATTGATGAATACATCCGCATGATTAGTCTCTGTCTTCCCCCTTTGCCCAGCATGCTTGGGAAGCTACTCCCAGCGTTTCCCACAGCATCACACAAGCCGGGGCTGCGAAGGCGGCTCTTGCCTGCAAGCGTGGGCCCGTGCGGCCCTCTGTGCTATCTGCCTGGCCCCACGAGCTCAAGTTCACTTCTGGCTGAAAGAGTCTTTACTGCAGTGGGAGCTCAATTCCCAGTAAAAGCCTTCGGTTATGCTGAGATATTCTTTTCATTTTGCTTGGCTCAACCGGCCCTCGAAGGGAAAAAAACAAAACAAAAAAACAATCAAAGATGAGCCTATGTGAGCAGGTGGCGGAGAGACTGGGAGAACCACAGAATTTGAGATAGTCTATACAGGAAAGGTTCTTGGAGAGCAACTCAAGCACCCTCCTGGAGCAAGAAAGAAAAACAAACTGGAGCCGCCTGACATTTAGGACTCTTACCTGCGGCGCAGATCCTCGGCCACTGCTGCCCGGCAGCTGAACAAATAGGCTCGCAGCGATTTCAGCCGCTGCCGTAGTCTTACCACCGCAGCCAGTGGCTCGGCATGGAGGTATAGCATGGGGTTCTCCTGCTGGATGTCGATCAGGGGCTCCTCGTACACATACTCCAGAAACTCTTTGGCCTGCTTAGATACCTAGAAGATAAATGTCCTCGATCAGTTCTGGCCAGTCACCCGGCTTTCCACACCTCCAAACTAGGAACCATCACTAAAATAGTAAAGTAATGTTTTCTAGGCAGAGCCGAATGACAAAGCCTATAATGCCAACTAAAAATGAGTTTTGACTTTTCTCTCTCTTCCAGAAATTCAACCTGGAAAAGTGAACTTAGCATGGAATGCAGCTCATTAATTTCTAACTGGATTATGGTGGTGATAACACGCCAGCATTCTATGCATGTTATAAAATGACCCGGAACTACACAGACTCAGGATACCAATGTCAGTATGTCAGGGTGTCTTTGTTTTCTTTGCTACTGAAGTAGAGTTGCCTAATATTTGACCAATGGAGGAGCTGGTGAGAGATACAGAGAACCTCTTTGTATGCAACTTCCGGTGAATTTATAAACATTTCAAAGTAAGAAATAGAAAAGAATTACGATAATGTTAACAGTAATATTGACTTTCAAAATTACATACACATGTGCAGAACTGTATATATAGTCATAGCATTTTTATATGCAGCCACTTTAAAAAACAGGTAGATATGCCCAGACTAACTTCTGAGTATGTGAAACTCCAGAAAGAAAAATCTTTGGGAAGAAATGTATAAAAGATCCTCCTGAAAAGCACTCAAAGCTTGCTCTTCAAGCCCATGTTCTCCTTTGAATTATATATCTTGCCTGCTTGTCTCAACACCTCTTTGCTTTTCTCCCTCTGGAGAAACTGTGTTCTCTCTTGAGCTCATATTTCCTCTCTCCCCCATCACATCTTTTTAAGCAATTTTCAATAAGCACTAATTTGCTTTAAGACCCTCCCCAAAAAAGAAATTTAAAATCAGTAAATCATATACATATACATGATTCAAAGGAATAAAATAATAATTTTTAAAAGCAACAATTTGCTGAAACAATAGGCTCAAACATAGTGTAGTGAGCAGAAAAGAACTGCTTTTATTAAAACAACTTTCAACTTGGATGATTCTGCCCAATGTTTTTGATTCTATCTCTATTTTCGGTAGTAAACAAGACTATAAGAAAGGCCTTAAATTGACATTGTCATCAGTAGGAACAGCAAACTGGAAACAATGCAACTGAAATAATAGAGGGACTAGCTTAAATAATGGGCTGGAGCGATAGCACAGCAGGTAGGGCATTTGCTTTGCATGGGGTCAACCCAGCCAACCCAGGTTCAATTCCTCTGCCCCTCTCGGAGAGCCCGGCAAGCTACCGAGACTATCTTGCCCACACGGCAAAGCCTGGCAAGCTACCCGTGAGGTATTTGATATGCCAAACACAGTAACAAGTGTCACAATGGAGACGTTACTGGGCCCACTCAAGCAAATCAATGAACAAATCGATGAACAATGGGAGGACAGTGACAGTTTAAATAATGCATACTTTTTACATAGCAATTGACTGATACTATATGAATGTGGCCCACTGATACCTTAAATGGGGCAAGTTCTACTGACTTGGGGATAAGGGAAGTACCAGGGCAAGCTAGGCAAAGCAGGTGGTACTAAAACTGATTCTGGAAAGGTAAACAGTGATTCTTTTTCCAGGAAAGACTGGACCAGAGGACAGTACAGCCAAAAGACATGGCCACGAGTATGTACTATGTAAATTCAAGGCATGGCTACTGCCGGATGACTGAAAGTTAAGATTTCTAATACAGCATTGTCATTTTCACAGTAAAGTTCATACAAAATTGGATTCTTACAGAGATGCTCAAGATGTTCTGACTTTTTCTAATTCATTTGTTTCTAAAGGTACCCTCCCCCCTCCATACACACTTTTTTTCCCCAGTATTACAGACTGAACTCAGGGTCTCATACATGTGAGACATGTACTCTAGCACTGCACCAGATTCCCAGCCCCCATTATTTTGGGGATGTCTATTATACTGTGCTGCCCTTTGGGTTCCTGTCAAGAAGAGTCAGTGAAGTTTCATTTGTAGGTCCAGTTCACAGAGAGGGAACTAGAATCAGCTGAAATCTTTGACTATGCTGCAGGAAACAACACCTTATAGGACAAAATAAGATCTTTCTTGGAGGCACATAGAAGCAGGTTTATTTCAGAGACTGTAACTAGCATTAGGCACTCAATGGAGAATAAAATAGGCACAGCCCTGGTCCTCATGTAGCATGCAATTCACTGGGGAAAGAGAGGATTCATTTTAAGCATTTTTTTTAAATCATGATTAGATATTTGCTCTTTTAATATATCTTAAGGGAGCAAAGAGAAGACGATGTTCTGGGAAACTAAGTACTATCCACTTGAAACCGTTGCTGAGAAATGATGTATTGTACAATTCAATTAGTCTTCTGGCTCTATTGAGCGGTGTTTATACTGAGCCAGAGCCCCGCTGAATTAGGTTAACAATGCTACCTTTTAGTAGGTGAACCGAAGGACAAAGGGCACTAGCCAGTCTCCCAGGCCTTAAAAGGATTCTCTCTTCAGGTGGTACTTAAGTCCAAAAGGCCGGCGGGGGAAGCCTTTCACAGAGGCCTTAAAAGCAGTGTGACAAATGAGACAGCAGCTACTGCATGAGCATTCGTAAACTGAAATGACTGAAAACAAAAACAGTGAGTTTCAGTGGCAGGGAAGGCCCTGCTTCTCTAAACCCTTCCCAGCCTCAGGAGAGCCCACACCCAGGGGCTGCAGCTGCCTTCGCGGCCCCACCGCCTTCGGCCACTTTGGGCAGCATGGCTGATGGTGTGACGTGCTCATTTCTGAGTTTGTTGAGAATCAGCCACCTGCAGGGTGAGAGGGCTTGGGGCAGTATCCAAAATTCCACACGAAATGCTATTTTTGAGCACTGTATGCCTGCCGATTTCCTCAGCTCAAAACCACCCTCTAACCCAGTTTAAGGATTATACTTAACACAAATCTGAAAAGTTTTTAAAAAGTGTGTGTGTGTGTATGTGTGTATGTGTGTAGTTATTGCATAAGGAAGGAAACCGATGATATTCGAAGATCATAAAGTTGATGTGAGAGAGTTTCTAGTTAACAAACATTACATCAGTTTTATGTCCTTGCCAACCCAATTATGAAAAACATGGAAAGCCAGAGTGCTGTTTCTGATACATGTGAAAATGTAACTCATAGGATGAGCCCAATATTATTTTTTTAAATAAAGGTTTGGGACAGATAGAGAGAGAGTCCAAAGGGTAAGGCACTTGCCTTACATGCAGCCAGCCCGGATTCAATGCTGGCACCATAGACGGTTTCCCCAGGCATTGCCAGGAGTGACCCCAGAGCACACAGTGCCCTGGAGCATAGTGAGGTGTGGCCCACACCATTCCTCCTCCTCCCCCTTTGTCCCACCCAGAAAAAATCTTACAGAATAAAAATGATTTTAGTTGTCATTCTCTTCCATGACCCCACTCCATTCACATTCAAAATCTTCATATTGGACTATTAATTTTTTTTACTAAATAGTTTTTAATATTTATTAATTATACTTATGCTACTAACTTAGGTTAGTTTGCATAAATTTTTGGCTTAAAAACAATTGCCTTAAAGTTGTAAGAACTCTATCCTGACTATGGTCATGGCAACTTATAAACTGTTTTCTCCAAAGCACCACAGTCTACCAGGTTGAAGAGAGCTGGGGTTGAGGTCTCTCCCACCTCCCACTCCAGAGTGGCAGATCACAATACAGTTGGGTCATAACTAGCTACAAGTTAATAATGACAGATCTATAGCATATGCATATATATGTTTATAAGTATTTTTATTTGATTTAAAGATTAAGCATAGTCCTGGGTATGTATCTAGACCTAACTGGTTTTTATAAAGCTGGTAACAGCTCTCTTTTAATCAAAGTTCTCAAATGTTCAGGTTTACCTAATACAAAGAGCAAGAGTGAGTGAGAGAGAGAGAGAAAGAAAGAGAGAGAGAGAGAGAGAGAGAGACTATCCTGGAATTGTCCTGATATGTACCTTTTCCCCAAATTGTCCTGGGTAATAAAGCAATGGGACAAAGAATGTTAGCCACAGAAAACCATTTTTTAAGAATGTGGAGGTGGTGGTGGTGATGGTAGCAGTGGTGGTGGTGAGGGCGTCAGTGTTTGTTAGAGGAAGAAAACGCACAAGAATAAGATAGATAACAACAGTATCTACAACAAGACTGGCACAGATAATCTAGCTCAGGTTTTCTAGTCCTCCAAGGTATTCTGCTCAGCCAGAAGCATGTCACACACCACATTCTTGGCCATTCAGAGTGGAGCATGCCAGCACATTAAACCTCAGGGACATCTGGTCTGAACTAAAGAACACCTGTTTAGCCAAGCCATTTACCTATAGATAAGACTGCTGCTTGCTTAATGGGGTGTGTGTGTGTGTGTGTGTGTGTGTGTGTGTGTGTGTGTGTGTGCGCGCAAGGGTATGCTGGGAGGGCCTGGAGTATGTGTTTAGGGCAGATGCTGTATGAGGTGAACAGAATCAGAATATTTCTCTAACTCCATCCTCTTGCCAATCCATGAGCTCCCAGAACCAAATTATGGAGGGGCCTTTTCAAATGAATAATCTGGTTTAGCTCTGGTCTCTCCAATGCAGCCCTCTTTCTGAGTAACATCTCTTAACACACATGGAATACACGCTGAGGAAAGGTAGATGAATCTATTATCTATATTTGCAAGAAGAGAAAATTGAGTCCAGAATGCTCAGGTGACACATTGTCATTCTGTGGCTGAATTGGAGCCTAATTCAGATCTCTGCTTTGTGCTTTTTAGAACTCTTCATATTCACAGTTCTTTTTATTTTTATTTTGACTATTTTTTAAATAAAGGTAAAGGTAAAGGCCCTCCCATTGATCGTCGATTTGCTCGAGCGGGCCCAGTAACGTCTCCATTGGAGACTTTGTTGTTACTGTGTCTGGCATACCGAATACTCTCGGTAGCTTGCCGGGCTCTCCGAGAGGGATTTTTTTAATAAACTGTCTTATACGATGAATTCTCCTAGTGATCCCTGTTCT